CTCCGCGGCAGCGCCCGCTCTCTCTGACAGCCGCTGGGCAGCAGGTGAGGCCCCGGGTGCTGCGCTCCGTCCCTGCCGCCTGCGCTGGGCAGGGGAGTCGGAATTTCCGGGCGTGCCCGGAGACTGGGAACTCCCGGCAGGAGGACGCGGCTGACCGGAACCCTCGGTCGGAGGACGGGTTTGACCCCCGGAACCCCGGCGGGAGGGCAGTTCGACCCCGGAACCCTCGGTGAGGGGACGCGTTTGATCCCGGAAGGCCGCGCTGGACCGTCCGGGGCGCCAAGGGCGTTGAAAGTGGCTGGCGCCCACCTGGGAAAGCTCCTGGGGCGGTGGCGGTAAAAGGAGCCTAAGAGTAGAAGGAGCGTCTGCTTTTAATTTTAGAGCTATATGTGAGGAAACCAAAACCTGCAAAAGAAATCTAAAAGTAACTTCTTGCAGTTTATGTTAGAGTTCTTTGGAGCACTTAGTGAATGCAACGCCTGAATTTTTGGAGCCATTTCTCCAACTGCCTTGATTGCAGGATGGTTATCATTTCTACTCTACCCCGCTAGGACGACTCAAACCCTACACAGATGTTTGTTTGCTGAACACAGCTTCTTGACTCTAAGCTTAGTTATTCATGTTGAAGTGAAAACAAAATTCACTAGATTTGCGGCCGTATCTTTTAAGGAGCAGTCTATTCCCTTTTCCAAATGTCCCATGGAGAAATCATACATTAAAAACTAAACATTTCCAAGTACTGACCTGTATAAAGGGTAGATCTTAAACACACAGGTGCTGGACATTTTTCCGTAACTGAAGACCTGCCTGGCCCCGTTCAGTGACCTGAAGTGCTAATATGAAGAGCACTGTCTTGCTGTGTGGCCTCCTTCGACTGCAGGTGCTCTCAGAAGAAGCCAAAGTTCCTGAATTAGCAGACCACTCCTCTCCAGTACAGAGCATTTGTCTTCTAAAAGCTGTTTGTACAGAGTTAAATTAATTCCTGTTGGTGGATTTCTGTACGGAAATATTTTTGCACTAGTTTCTCTGGCTAGTGTGGGCCCTTGCCTTAGTTGAAATGGAAATTAAAACTAAAGCACAAAGTTGCAGGAAAAAGTTTTAAAGAGAAAGGGACTTTAGCTGGAGAAGCCTTACATTCTGATTCACTGGTTGCTTTTTGTGTAGTATGATTTAGGTTGTTCTCTTGTCATTCCCTGTGTTCTTATAAATTGGACCTTAGATCTAAAGGCTTAATTGGGTCCATGATCACCGTATTTGGCAAGTCTGCTTCCAAAGTGGCTTTAATTTTTAAGAATTTAAATGTATCTGACTTGAAAAGACAGAGACCTGATGTTCAGGAAGTTCAACTTTGCTATAATATACTTTACCTGATGACTGAAAACACACTTTATTCTTTCTTTTCTCTCTTTCCTTATTTGTAGGAGAGAACATAACTTATTTTTCAAGGAGGTAAAGCACTTTGAACCCTCCCTCTAGATCAGTGGGAAAGTCTAGTCAGTGCATTCTTGGGTCTTTGGGCTGTAGGGCAATGTTTACACAGAATGGAAAGTTTCCTTCCATGGTTCCAAACCCAGGGTTTGAGACTGCCTTCCAAGAAGGGTTGGGTCATTTTATTTTAGTTTTAAGCCCCTCTGAATTACTCAGTTTTTTTTTCTTACTATTTCTCATCTCACTCCCCAGTAGGACCAAGAGCTGGACATTTGGTTTTTCTGGTCTCTGTGTGAGGTCGACATATATGTATCACCTGTGTCCTGTGCAAGGATTCTGAAGACTTTTAAGACTCAGCCTCGCTGTGATGCTGGATTCCAGAGCAACACACCTTTGAACAAATTTACAGGTGAGAATAGCTTTCCTCTTTTCTAGAATTTTAGAGACTCATAAACTCTAGAGCCCAGATGTGGTAAGTTTGCTGACAGAGACAGATGGAAGTGTCTTTGTGTCATGTAAAAAGAGTAGGGAGAAAATATGTCCACACCCCTTTACCCATTCTTCTATGGGTCTGTGGTCTTACCTGTAAGAATACATTAAGAATACTAAAAATAAGAAAATGAAAAAAATGGAAATAAAGTGTTTGTAAATGGGGAGGGGAGGAGGGGTTGAAGAGAGGGCAGGGACAAGGGGGAAAAAATGAGAACCAAGACCGGTCATGTAAAGGTACAAGATCCCAATGATGAATGTAACTGTACTGTATACCTAAAATGAACCAGTAAACTCAATGAGGAAACAAAAAGAATACTAATCTTTTGGCTGAGGATTTGACTCAGTGGTTCCACCACCTGCCTTACAAGCGCAAGATCCCAAGTTCAATCCCCAGTACCAAAAAAAAAAACCAAAAAACAAAAAACTAATTTTCAGTCAGACACATTGCAACTATTTTCCCCCAATTTTTTGGTATGTACTTTTAGTTTTTATGCTCTGTAGAAACTTTAAGGTGTGTGTAGTAAAAAATATCAGTCTCCCTTTGACAGTTTGTATTTTGGTTTGAAAGAACTGCTCATTTCAGCATTTTTAAAAACTTGCTAACACAGGTAAATGAACATGTGATTAGAACTATGTCTTACTCAATTTTGTGTCACCGTAGTGAAATGCCTGAGATAATTCACTCATAAAGGAAAGGCTATTTGGGCTCACAGTTCTGCAGCTTCCAGTCCAAGATGAAGCGGACCCGTTGCTCTGGGTCCCTGTGCGGTGTTGTGGATGGCAGTGGCACGGGCCATGTGGCAGAGCAAACACTCACTTCATTAGCCATGGAGTAGAGAGGAAGAGACAGAGTCCCGCAGTCCCCTTTGAGAACATTCCTCCAGGGAACCGAGGGTCTCCTGTAAGCCCCATCTCATCTAACAGCTCTGGCGTCTCCCAGTAACCGAGCCTTCAACACCTGAAACTTTGGGGACGTAGCATATCCAGACTGTAGCAGCTAGGAACATGTGATTGTGGAAAAATAAAAAGACTACTGAAGGAGGACTATTTCTACCAGGCAACATAATACCAAATTAATGAATGTTGGCATAAAGATAAGGTCGATGCTGATGTGTAAGAGTTGGAAGGTGGATATTTGAATCATTTATGTTATCATTACTCTGGTTTTGTGTGTATTCTCCTTTCCATAATTAAAAAAATGTTAGCTTTACAAAAGAAAGAATAATGTGGGAGGGACCCAGCTTTGTGCTACTTGCTCATACTTACTATTTATTAAGCAGTTCTGTGCTGAACACTAGGAGTATTGTGTTTATAAAGCCAAGGTCTGGGTCTCCCGTTCTTACATAGGACACAGAGCTTAGTGCCATGTTTAAAGGTGCCAGTCCCTGAGTCATGCCTGGTGTCTAATGCTGGCTTTGCCTCTTACTAGTTGGGTGATTTTGATCTTTTTGTTTCAAAAACTGAGGATATGCCATGTGCCTCACAAGCAAAAAGACCTGAGTTCAATCCCAGGTACCAAAACACACACACACACACACACACACACACACACACACACAAAACAACGAACAAACAAAAACTGAGGATATTTCTCTAGGGCAGAATCTGTTTTCTTGCCTTACCCATCTCCTAAAGACTGCCCATGTTCCCTGACTTATTGGTCTCCTTTCTCTACCTTCAAAGCCGGCAACATCGCTCCTCTCTGACCCTGTTATGAGCCAGGAAAGGTTCTCTGCTTCCCAGGATTTATTTGATTAGATCAGGTCGACTTGGTTGACCCTGTATCATCCCCATGGCTCAAGGTCATTAACTTCAGTCACATCTGCGAGTACTTTTGCATGTAAGGCAACATACTCGAGTTTTGGGGAGTGGGACATGGACATCTTTGTCCTTCTGCCTACCACAGATTAATTTTTGGTCCCAGGGATTGAACTCAGGACCTTGCATTTGTGAGGCAGGTGGTGGCACCATTGAGCTAAATCCCTGGCCCTTGCCTACCCCAGATTTAAAGGGACATAGATGAGCAGGGTAGAAGCATTACAGAGACTGGGCAGGGAGGGAGGCAGAGAGGGTCCTCTGGTCATGCTCAGTGTTAGTTTATTCCAATGGCAAGAGGAAGTCTTGGTCTGATTTACTTCCCCAAATCTGGAATCAGCCATTTTTCCAAAGAGCCTCGGTTGGTTGGTTTAAAATGGAAAGCGATACTTAGAGACCACGACCTGGTCCTTGGGAGTGCTCATTGCTGTTGGGTTGATGGTTGTTTCAAACCATTTCAGTAGTCGTAGGGAAAAACGTTGTTCGAGGTAAGATAATTCATACTGATAACTTCCAAGTCTGTTTGGTTTCATTTCTTTTCCTTTTTTTTTCTTTTGAGACATGGTCTTGCAGTGTAGTCAGGGCTGGCCCTGAACTTGTGATTCTCCTGCCTCAGCCTCCCAAGTGTTGAGACTGCAGGTGTGTGTCACCATCCCTGGCTTATTCTGTTACATCCATACTTCTTTTTCTCTCTCGGAAATCCAAGTCCCAACAGCACTGGCACAATTAGTTATTCACTAAAACCTTGGGTAACTTGAGGGAGGAGTTATGCTGCCCCACATTCGGGTGAAGTACCCTCACAGATTACTTGGAATTCTCCCATGCAGGAGGTTTCTCTGTCCCTTCATCTTTAATTAGGCACTCAGGACTGTTTATTGAGTGTTTTAGTTATAATTTAGCACTACCTTATTTTGTTCCTCACATTGCTCCCACTTGGCCACTGGAACCCTTTCATGTAGCTCCCATGTCCCTGTGCCATGCTGAGTACCAGACAGGTCACTTATCTAGACAGTTTTGAATGTTCCCTTCCTTTCTGGTACTGCCTCATGCTCTGAATCCATCTGATGCAATCCCAGCACTGATCTTAGAATCAGTCATTTCCTAAGAGGTGCTGGCTTTTGCTGGGATGGTGTAGGGGCCACGGGCCAGTGCTGGCCAGCTTGCCTGTCGCCTTGCATTCCATCCACAAGGAGCCTGGCTCCTGCTTTCTGCCTCTCGTGACCCTGTACCCGTGTGTGTGCAAGGCAGCACGGGAACTGTCAGCCCATAGCCCCAAGGGATCCAGCTCAGTCCACTGGCGTCCAGTTCTTATGGGTACTTCCTTTGGCCTGTAGTCCCGAAACTGGCCCAACAGGTGAAATTCTTTAGGCAGGATGAAAGGACATTTTCCTATCCTGAGAGTATTTTGCCTGCCAGGCGTGTAGGTAGAGAGCCCATGGCTTCCCTCAGCAGACCTCTGACTCTTAGTAACCTTGACATGATAACATATGGAATGTGAGGCCGCAGCTACCCTCCCTGGCACAGAGGACAGTTACTTAGTGACTGTGCTGGTTTTATATGGCTTCCATCACAAATGACCATAAACCAGAGGCCTAAAATACCAGGAACGTATTCTCTCATAGTTCACAGAGCTCAGAATGAGACATCCAGCGGCAGCAGGGCTGTGCTCCCTCTGGCAGCTGTGGGAAATCCTTCCTCTCCTTCTCAGCTTCCCTGGTTCCTGGTGGTCCTTGGCTTGTGGCTGTGACACTGCAGCCTTCCTGTCTTCACATGGCACCTCCTCTGTGAGGACATTGGCCATTGGATTTGGGTCCCTTCCTGATAATCTAGGGTGATCTCAAGCCCCTCTTTCAGCGTTTTATTAAATACCTTGCCAGACCTACTCCAAAGCAGAGTGTAGTAAGCCTTTATGCACCAGCCCCCAGCCTCAGCCCCATTCCGCCATTTGCTCTCCTGATCCTGTATTTTGGGTTTTGTTTGCTTCTGCAGAATTTTGAAGTCATGTCATTTCACTCCCCCGTGGTACAGTATAAATTTTGTTTGAAAGTTTCTTACATAACTAAAATCCTACTAACATTAATGAACAAAATTCCATATCTCATCTAATACTGTATTCACATTTCCTCAGTTTTCTCTGTGCAGTTGGATTCTTCCAGTTGGGATTAAAAAAAAACCCTTTCATTGTACTTGCTTTGTACACCCTTAAATCTCTTAATAATGTATGCTGGGCATTAATTTAACTCAGAAGACTCTTACTCTTCCATCTTTGTTCCTGTTTCAAAGTAGTTGCATGCTCTCGTGCTTTTATTCATTATTTAAATTCATACAGTAAAATTGACTTTTTTACAGTCACGTGAGTTTTACAATGTGTAGATTCTTGTTACCATCACTGAAATCCTGATAGCAGTTCTGTCAGCAAACCCAGAAAGCCAGACCAAAAAAAACCTTCTCTCATTCTGCCCTTGTGGTCAAACCCTCCCTGACAACCATTGATTTGTTCTCCATCCTTGTAAGTCCTGCTTGTTCCAGAATGCCATACAAATGGAACAGTACAGCAGGTAACCTTCGAGACTGGGTCCTCACTACCATTGAGATCCCTCTGTGCCTGTGTCTCCCTCACTGCCATTATCTGGACTCCACAGTGTGTGTCCACTCGCAGTGGAAGGACAGTTATTTCATGTTTTGGGTGATTATGAATAGAGCTGCTATAAAAATTTGTTGATGGGCTTTTATGTAAAGAAGAGTTTCAGCTTTCTTGGTGGATCCCTAGGAGCACAGTTACTGGGTCATAGTGTAAGTGCCAGTGTACTTTTAGAAGACGATACTAGACTGACTTTTATAGAAAATTTTCCAGAGTGGCTCCACTGCTCTCTCTTCCTACTTCCATGTAGGAAGGTTCCAGTGGCTCCACATCCTTGTTAGCACTTAATGTTATCAGATTTTCCCCTCAGAGCCATCCTAATAGATATGTGTGTTTTATGAGTATTTTTGGTTTTGTTTTCTAGTTACCTGATTTCAGGTTTTTGACATTATAAAAATTATTTTTAATAATTTTGGAATAAACCACTGAATTAAATTTATTTTATATACTTGCTATAAAGT